GAAGCGTGCTTGAGTGTGAAGTAGGCATTGTCATAATCCAGAGATTTTTAATGTTGAAAATTTCGTAAGTTATTACCCTTTGTTCGTAAGTGGTCGCGCAAAAGTGTGTGCTGTCGTTTTTACCCGCCAGGGTAGTTTTTGCTTGTTTCTTTCATTTTGTGGTCGAATGAGAAAGGAAAACTTAATTAAGATGGCCAGTCACGATACAGCACACTAGGCCTACACACTGCCTGTGCGTACCACTGCCCGCTGTGCCGCATTCATACCACCACCTTCATCCCACCTCGGACGTGATACATTATTGGATAGTGAGGGGCAAAGGTGAAACCGCAGCCAGCCTCCTTTTCTCATCTCCCTGACTCTTTTTGTAATTTTTGTCTTTGTGTAGCTTTGCCAAAGGCTAGATCTTATGTCCACTCGTGTTGCTGTGTGCATCTCTCTGCTTTCCTCTCCGCGCATGTGAGTATGTGTCTCTATCACTTGCGTTCTTTGTGTTTCTCTAACACACTCACTGCTGCGGTGTAGACTGTGTTCGAACTTCGATGGGTCATCATGAAAGTATTGACTATCTTGCAAATGAAACGTGCCTGAAGCCGAAGTTACCGTGCTTAAAGACGTGTGATTTACATAGCAAAAATGAGGTAAGAGCCATTTAGCTTGCTTTATGCCGGCGTGCTTAAAGCCGGCGCGGACTGTGTTATATAACTTCTTGAGATTTCGAACTTCTAGCAAGGCAGAATCGGTGGCACGACGTCAAGTGCGTACTTCATTGTTTGTTTGTTTGTTTGTCTGTTCCCAGGTGCGGACCCGTACTGCATCATCTCGTGTGAGGGCGAGAAAGTCACCACCAGAGTCTGCAAGAACAGCACCAACCCCGAGTGGGATGAGTCGGCAGTTTTCTTCCGGTCGAAGCCGCTCAAGAGCCCGCTGAAAGTCCAGGTCGGTCATCGGTCACGGTCGTGGGCGGGCGGGCTTGTCAACTCTCGCCACCGTACACTTAGAATTACGAAGTTCCATCTGACAGTTTTTACCGTTTTGAGTTACTAAGACCATTAGGTCAGAAACCAAATGTTCTATCTGCTCTATCAAAATCATAAGATTATCTGGAGGCGTTATTAAGAAAGTAAAAAAATTGCATTCGAAAAAGCTTGACGTTTTGGGACACTCAAAATTTTCATGTCAAATGTCTCCAAACTAGGTACTGAGCAGACAGATAGATCTAGAACTTTGTAATTCTGAGTTTGCGACCTGTGCTCAGTTGCAGGGGACTGGTCTGGATTTGACTAGAGGGTTGGGTTTTTTTAAGTTAATTTTTTTAAAATTTAAACCTAGGTCACACTAGGTGTATTTTTTTATCGCCCTCATCAACACAATTTAGATCATATTTGCTCTGACCCTGCCTGTTGGGCTCAACTCGGACTGAGAGGGATACAACATCCCAGCAGAAAAAAAAAAACAAGATACTC